CTTCATCTTCTTTCATTTTGCTTAAAACTGTAGTTTGACTTCCAAGTTCGATCTTCTTGGAACCTGGGCATTTTACATAATGTTTAATACGCTTTGCTGGGACCCTTTCCATGTTTTTAGTTTCCGGGAGTTGTTGAACTAGCCTAGCGCGTTTGGGCACTTGGTCGGATAAGCCACAGGAGCTCGAACTATTTTCAGGTCCTGAAGACGACGATTTAGTCGAAACGTTGACCAATAGAACGGTTCAACCATAACAAAACTGTAGTTTGAGTCTCTCCTCGTTTGCAATGACCCTCGGAAGTGTTTTGTTGTTCGCTGTTATTTGAGATAGTGATAGTGCGCATTCCTCAGTTAACGTTTCGGCGAAGCAATCTGCGCCTGATCAAATGGACAGCGTGATCACTTGCTATCATATGCATGGAGAAGCTTCTTACCTTCAGTGGCTTGCCTCGACACCAAATAACAAATGCTTAAACTTAAAAGGGAAACGCTAGTGGCCAAACCGTATTGCTGGTCCGGAGTTGAGCTTACGATCAAATGCCTGCAAAGTGTTTACAGTTTTTAATGACGGACTACCTTTTCGAAGGACCTTCACTTCGGCATCCATCGAAGGCTTCCAACCTTAATCTTGTAAGAATCTTCAGGGTTTCTCCATACAAACTCTGCATAAATCGATTGTTTAGTGGATTCGCTATCCACTAGCCTCTACACAGCCTTTTGAGCACGCTTAGTCCGCCCTTAAGTTAAGTTGCTGGAACTCGAAGACTAATTTTCGCGAATAGTAATGCGATGTTGCAAGTCAACTGTTTTGTAGAATAACGATCTTTTACCCCCACGTGGATGAGATGCTAATGCTGCCATGTCTTTTGACTTTGCAAGATCATCTTAAGTTTCTTTTCCTTCAGGTGATTGAAGAAAGCATATACGATCGAAGAACCCGGACGTTAACGACTTACACAAGGAACGTATCACATAATGAATTATTCGCCATGCATGAGCGGTGTGTATATCGACCAACAACGGTGAGATGCTACCTCCTTTATTTTCAAACCATCGCTTTATTTATAGACCTTGAAAGGGTAATCATGTAGTTATGATAGTTTCAAACTTCGAGGCAGTTGTAGCGCATAGTTTCTTATTCGCTTGTTCGGCTTTGTTTACCGTTGAAGATTTGACGTATATTCGTCAGCACGTAACGCTGCCGAGCAACGCTGTAATGTTTAAAGCAGAAATATTTCGAACAGCGTATAGCAGAGACCATAAACAACCAACGCCTACTACCAGAGAACGTCAAGTTGATATCTGTGAGAATATTTATGGGAATAAACAAATGTTTAGGACTCATTGAGTGAACCAATGACAGACATAATGCGCAGTGTCTACATTTCTATACATTGTGGAAGAATGAGCTCGGTCTACGAGAAGTTGATGCTGCTTGGCTACAAGAAATCTGTAAGTTTTTTGATGACAAGGTCTCAATGGAGATTAAGTCGAAATCATTGCGACTACGTAAGAAAATAGTTTTTTGTTCGCAACTTAATTATTTTCAAGATTTTCATTTAACACAGGCGGTAGTATGGTAGGATTTAGAGACAACCTTCAAACGTTACCTTTCTGGGCTGTAGTAGATATTCAAGGTTGTCTTTGTGAAAATCGGAGTGAGGATGCTCTAATGGCACGTGGAGTGTCAACGCGTATATTTCGAGTATCGAACTTCGCTTAGGTATTTGCCTTGCCCAACCAAGTCTCTTATACCTCCGAGGTTGGTTATTAGATACCCGACACGCCTGGTGGATAAAAGCACTAATTTGTATAACCGCCGCAAATCATTCTACAGGCCAGATACTCATTCTCAACGAAACTGCGATTTTGAATGCTAGTCAAAACCGGGGCATATCCCGTATCCTACCTGAAGCAGATTTACACTAAAACCTTTATCCTTATTCTATCATCTTTGTTCTCAATAGTAAGCTTTTCTTTGCATTTCCTTTACCCACGATGTCAGATTATTTTTTCCAGGTCGTTAACACAGGCAAGGGCTTGATTGAAGTGCTTGAGCAACGTTTTGGAATGCGTAATTTG